GAAGTTCCTTACGAACTTTCTGTAGTAATTCGCTAAGCCCAGGAACGAGCGCAACTCTGTCAACGTACGTGGCGTGGGCCAATCTCTAATCGCTGCGATCTTGCTATCTTCTGGCTTAACGCCGTCTCCGTCTAAGACGTGGCCTAGATACAAAACTTGGGTCTTCGCCCAATCGCACTTCTTTGCATGGATCTTGAAGTTAGCTTCTCTCAACTTCCCCAAGACTTGCCTGAGATGACCCTGATGCTCTTCGAGGGTCCGACTAAACACTAGGATGTCATCTAGATAAACTACAACGAATCTGTCTAACCACGGCCTAAACAAATCATTCATACACCGCTGAAAAGTTGCTGGCGCATTGGTTAGTCCAAAGGGCATCACTATAAACTCATAATGTCCATACCTAGTCCGAAAGACTGTCTTATACTGATCATCAGGGTGTACCTCTATCTGATGATATCCGGACTTTAAGTCTATCTTAGAGAAATACTTAGCCCCCTGCACTCGATCTAAGAGATCATCGATCCTAGGCAGTGGCTCAGCATTCTTTACTGTAATAGCATTCAGACCCCTATAGTCTATGCACATCTTTAGCTTTCCCTCTTTCTTGGGTACAAAGAGAACAGGGGCTCCAAAAGGAGACGAACTAGGCCTAATCCACAACCCTTTTCAAGGAGCTCGTCCAACTGTTTCTGCAGCTCCTCTAACTCCCGCGGGGACATCCTATACACCGCACCCTTAGGAATTCTACTGCCAGGCTCTATCTCAATACGGTGCTGGATGGGCCGCTACACTGTGCCTGTCGGTGGCTCAGTCAAATCCTTAAACTCTTCCAGCAGCTTGGCAATCGCGGGGTCCGTCGGCTTCTCCTCCGTAGGCTCAGTCACTGGCCTAACATAGGCAACAAAGACCTATTCCTCCAATCCCTCCTTCTTCACCAGTCTGGCGAACGCGGGGGCACTAAGGCAGCAGTGGGCCAAGGAATTCTCTACCCCCGACACATGGAACAGGCGGGCAGTCTTGGCCTCGCCTGACGAACTAGGGAGCCTACACTCGTTCTCCTTCAAATGGAGCGTGGCCCCGGCTGCCTCTCCCCAATCCATTCTCAGGACAATGTCAAATGGGAGGCTATCCTCTACGAGGAGAGTCAGGGAGTGGAGGACCTTCTCCACTTTCCCATCTTTCTCTAGGCGGAAATACGCCTGGACTCCCTCTACGTAATCCTCTACAATCATAGTACGATTGTCTGCGAGGATACTAACTATGGGGTCTGTCAGTTTTTGGACTTTAAGTCCCAGCCTCAACTTCTGCAGTGCTTTCCTACTAATATAGTTGCGAATGGCCCCTGAGTCTACTAGGGCCCCTACTCTACTTCTAAAAATCTCTGTATCTAACAAAATCAGTTGCCCTTTATTCTCCTTCTTCATCTTGGCCCAGGCGGGCATCCTCTCTTTCAATTCTTCGGCCACGCCTGTGAGGGAGGTGTCTAGCGAAACTCTAACACAA